TGCCGTGATAACCGATCTCCATATACCTTTCCCAAGTCCAGGCATTAGGTGTCAAAGCGCCAAAGTTGACCAGCTAGCTTAGCCCCAATAGCTCCAACGAAGAAAACTGTTAAGGAAGTAGGAAAAGTGGTTCACCAAATCAAACTTCTCTCCATCTGTCCCTTTCGTCCTTCCATTCCCTACAAAAACCACAAATTCTGCTCGGAACTTCACAAATCAAACTCTCTAACCTTCTGAGTTTTCATCAAATAAACTCTCTTTACCATTCCCAGAAGTAGTTTTAATAGTCCTCCATAGCAGAATGGAACACACAAAGATGGTGATGACTCTAGTTGCGGTTATTGTTGCCCTGCACTGGGCAGGAGCAGCCGCACAGTCGGACTGTACAAATGTGCTGATCAGCTTGTCTCCATGCTTGAATTACATTACAGGGAATTCCTCTACCCCATCACAAGCATGCTGCACACAGCTTGCAAGTGTTGTCCGTTCACAACCACAATGCTTGTGCCAGGTCCTGAATGGTGGTGGCTCGTCGCTTGGGATCAATATCAACCAAACCCAGGCCCTGGCTCTTCCCCGAGTTTGCAATGTTCAGACTCCTTCCATCAGCAGCTGCAATGGTAAGAATTCAAGTGGAAAATTTATGGGCACTACTGCACATTAATAATGAGCAGGAGGATTATTTATGAACTAATATCAATCTCTATCTAAAGCGCTAACTTGTAATACCTGAAAATTGTCAGTTGCTACTCCCACCGGCTCTCCAGCAGGAGCACCAGAATCTTCAAACAACATTCCTTCAGGTAAGAACAAAACAAACGCTTAACTGTATGCTCTATCAGTTTGTTCACACGGCAACTACAAATTAAAATACCTTACTGCTTGTGCAGGAACTGGATCAAAGACTGTTCCATCAACAGACAACGACTCATCAGACGGAACCTCGAACACTGTGTCAAAACCTCTACTATTCTCCATCTTGTTGGCTTCTGCATATGCTTCAGCTTTCAAGTTGTACTGATCTTCTTATCAGTAGCCTATCTTCTACAAGTCTTGTTTATTGTTCATTTATTGCATTTATATTTTTCCTGGAGTGTCCATTATGTAAAACATCCCTTTAGTTTAGGTGTTTTTTTATCATCATATTCTCCTCTTGTGGGCATTTGTTTCCAAAAACTTGTATTACATCAGAGATTCTTTCGAATAAATTACACGATTATGTGCTTGTGAGTTTTATACTGACCAGAAGCAACATGAATCAATGAAATGAATGTCTAATATAGTTATGAACAAATTCAATCATCTAAAAATGAATCTGAATTAAGTTACAAAAATTATCTTCATTTTCCAATAAACATAAGTCCAAATAAGCCAGCTTCCAGTCAATTGTTACCTTAGGAAGTCCACTCATCAGGAGAAAATCTCAACATGGTAACAAGAAAAACGGGGGGGGGGGGGGGGGG